AAAAGATTTGTTCAACTTTAAGACATTTCTGTAACTTGCTGAACAACTGTTAACTCTTATTACCTTATTTAAAAAAAATACCCACAGTTAGTCATCAGTATGTACAGGGTCAATTAAAAACCTTTTACCAGTTAATATGTATGCAGTATGTAATTTGGTTTTCCCCACCTTGTCACTGCTGCAGTGGAATTCCAACTGCATAACTGGAAACTGTCCTTCCAGAAAACAAGCAAACCTTCAATATATTTTCTCTTCTATAAAGATTTCATTCTAATCTCAAGAAAACAATAGCACATATAGATCATGTGGCCCTGTTTAGAAGAGACATTATGCAGCTTTCTGGATTCCATAAACTTCAGTTGGTGACATATAGGGGTTGTTGACTGGGTTGACCAGGAAGGTCAGAGAAGAGTATGAAGGAGAAGAGTATCCAGTTGAAGAGCATGGAGTTATGAAGCTGCTTTGGGTGACATAGGTGGGACAAGCCAGGAAACATAGTTAAATTAGCTTTTTCATTTATTTCTTGGCTGCCATATCCTGCATATCTGGGGTATGCTGACCAGGTTCAGGGCACCTTTACTTTTATATAGAATACTTAGGCTGGGAGGAATCCAAGTCTGCTTCTGAGAATGGAGTAGGATTAGGCAGCTATAAAAAGATGAAATCAGCTAGAGGAAATTCTCTGGAATAAAAGCAGCTTTATTGTAGCTGTGATACCCTAGAGGCTCACAGAGCATATGTAGGCTACTCACCCATGGAAATAATTATAAAGGGCTGGATAAGCATCATAATCAAAAACCCAAAGCCTCAAAAGCAAGAGTCACATTGCTAGCACACATTTTTGCATACTCAAATGATAGTAAATGGTAGGCAAACTAGTTAAAGTAGTAGTAAATCTGAAGAAAAACCTTTTTTTAATACCAGTCCTGCAAGCCCTTATATAGTTGTCCCATGGATCAGGCACTTTCTCAGTTACAACAACTCATAAAAAACAGATTTAGAGAAAATCAAAAAGATGTTAAAAATAATAGAAAGTATTTTGAGCCAAAGCAGTGATTTAAGAGGTTTGTTAAAGTTGCTTAATATCACCACACACAATTACAGGTAACCTACGAAGGAAAAGAGGTTAGTCTGTGATTTTATTACCGAATTTTTTTCCTATTTATTTATATGATAATTCAGGTTTCGTCTATCATGTTTCACTTAACAGATTTTGCAGATGACTCAAGATATACCTTGTTTATCATGTCACAAATACCAAACAAGTAACATCTATTCAGTTCAGGGGGAGTGATTTTTATTCAAACTGAATTCTTGTTTGTTTTTCTTAGCAGCTATTGAACTCAAACACCAAACAAAGAATTGGAAGAAAAGCTCTTTTGCTACACATTCACCCTTTCCTTTCAAGTGGGTGCTGTAAAATCTCCCTAACCACATCTTTGGGTCCCCTCAGGAAGGTTGATATTTGAAAGGTTAAAACCCCCCAAAACATTCATTTATTTTAGAAATCAAATCCTTTTGTGCTATCTTAATACTACACTGTCAGTAAATGAGAACGAAGAGGCAAAGCCCCTTTTCAAGTCACCTTTAAGACTTGAACCACTGTGGTGCATACCAAAACTAGTAACCTGAGACTTTGGTGGCAGGTTTTTAGTTTTCCCCCTCTTCACCTTAAAAAATTAGCTTATTTCATTAGAGACTGGCATACTGCTACTTCACCCTCCCATAGGCAGCCTTAACTACAAGTTAAATTATGAGTATGTGGGCACAGACTGGTCTTAGGCCAATAAACAGGTTACACTTCCCCAAAAAGGTGGAAGAATCACCATGTAGAGTTTAGCAAAACTAGCTGCAGCGTGAAGACCAAAGCTTGATTCCATGAACTACAGAACAGTTGGAGATATCTATGAAGTATCCACTGGGTAAACTTTTCAGAAGGATCTTAATCCCATTTTCAAAAATGATTCAGGCATTTACAAGGTGGATTGATTTAAATCACCAATTTTAATAATTATTTACATCAGCAAGAAATAATTTATTTAACCCTGTTTTGCATTTATACTTTAGCCATTTTCCTAAAGAAAGGTTTGTTCTCATTGGTTGGTACAACCATTAAAACATATTGATTTGCAAGTAAATATAACCTTTACACTAAACGTGTAACTAACACGTTTTTGCTAACATGAGAATACCCTGTATTTATAAACACTTAAACAATTGTATAGTTTAACATACATTTATTCATATTCTTAATTATTCCCTTTTTATTGTTAGAAAATGGTTAACGATACATTTTTTATTCACTAGATCATTAATTTTTTATTCCAGATTTATATGGAGTTACATTTGGATGGCAATTGGAATTAATTTAAAAATGCACAAGAAAAACATTTAAAAATTGTTTATCAATAAAATAAAGCTACCTTAAATGTGCTGAATACATAAGTTTATCAACTAGTTTTGCATTTAGGACTAACGGATTTATTGAACAAAGGAAGTATAAATTGTAGTTAGTGAATTGTCAGATTGTAAATCTGGCCTATGGTGACCAGGAAATAAAAAAGGTATGTGGGGGGCCAACAGTGCTGATAGGTTAGGTACTTTTCAAAATCCCACTAGGAGCCTATCTGCATATTTAGGCACCTAAATACCTTTGAAAATCTGGCCCCTTGTCCTTCAACTTTTAGACTTTATAGATTTAATTCTCTCTCACACCTGGTTTTTATTCAGAGATTGGATGAAAACATGCTTTCCTGTTTTTTCAGCTCCCGGTTGGTTTCTCCATTTTGAATCAATTAGTCCAAATGAAGAAATATTTTCTCTTCATCTGCTGGCTTAACTGAAAACAAAAGTAATTAAGACAAAAGCTTTTCTGCTCAGCAGAACTGAAAGTAAATGTAAATACTAGCATTCACTCAATTGCAAAGATTAAAAATAATATAGATACTGAATGCGGTATTGTGACATTTATAAAGCTTAACTGACTGCAAAATTTAAAGATGTTTTCCCCCTGATTCTCTGTATCATAAAAAAAGCTGAACCCATTAACTCATTAAAATTTGAGGAGGGCTCATTAAAGCAGCATTTTTCTTTTATGTATTTAAATTATTTTAATAGATTATAATAAATTTAGGCCTTAACATTGGCCATTTTAAAAAGGTTTGTTTTTAAAAAGAAAAATTAATTTAAACAAACTCTTATTTTGATTTATTTTTAAATAATTTTTTACCCACCCTGGACACTTAGGAGCCTAAATCTCTCTCTCTCTCTTTCAATGACACATAGGCACCAAAATGCCTAAAACTCATTAAAAATCACACTAAACCACTTAAGCACTTACAAAAATTTCACCCATTATCTTCAGAAGGGAAGGAATAGGTTCATCTGTCTAGAAAGGAACAACTATGAGATATATGGGGTAAAGACAAAGGTACCAAGGAATTCCTCTCAAATTTTATCTGGAGTATTAATCTGGGGTAATTATCAACACCAAATAAGCTTAGCTAGACTAGAGGAAAGTTCCAACTGGCACTTAAACCTGGCTCACCAATACACAATATTAGAAACAATGACACAGACGCACGATATAGGGAAAGCAAAAAACCCAAAAATTAAAGTTGTTTTTTTTTTTTTTTTTTTTAATTCTAATTCCTTAGTTGTCTCCCATTTGGACTTTCAGAGAACACAGAATAACATCAGGGAACTAAAGCCAAGTACGGTTTTGATATATATAATACTACTTTATTCTTTTTATTTTTTCTTACCTTTCTTACAGTTTTAAAAATGTACAGGGGTTCAGAACCACCTCAATAAAACAATGCGTACTTTTTTTTTTTTTTTAAAGAGACTACTGTAGTCAAACCATTGGTGTGCAAAAAAGGTTGACTTCCGTTATGAAAAGTCACAGGCACAATTTCATTATATGCATTTTGGTAAAATAAGAAACTACTTCGCAGCTGTTAAGAGTAGCAATAGTTAGGCCTTTTTAAAAAACAAATCTCCATCTGAGAAAATGGCACCTTGGGTTAAAACTAATATTTAAAATATGTCACTACCTGCCATACTATATCTGAACCGTAGGCAATTTATTACACATGTAGTGCCCTTGCAAAGTATTTTATTTAAGCGGTGAACCTGAAAGGCAGTTCATTACAAAAGGCAATACTGAGGCTCTTATCTGTATTTTATACTAAATTGTCTCTCCACCTCCTCCTCTAATAAATATCTATTTAATAACTGCATAAAAGTATTTCTCTTAGAGCAAGTAATTCTTTTTTAAAATCCTGTAGACTTAAAATTGACCTACTCCATATGCTATGAAAACATTAGGCACAGATCACATACTTTACATTTTCTTTTTTAAAAAAATACAATATGTGCAAGCTAGGTTCACACAAAGGATTGGCAGCTAAACAGTCAGCTATTCAGACCCCACAGAAAAGTTATTTTCCATTAAATTTTTTTTTAAATGCACTGAGCAGTGATTTACACTGCTGTTTGTGGTTATCATATTTGCATTAGGATTATTTGTGTAACTGCTAAAGGAAAAGCTTTAGTACATCCTAAAGGACACCACATCAGTACTGTGTGCTAATTTAGCAGGAACCAGAGAACAAATTTTGTAAAAGTCATTAGAATATGGTGAATGCAAACATCCAGCTAGTAAAAATAGCCAGAATTTTCTGAAGGAAGAAGTTATTTGAAATTAAGTTTATCTGACAGGCTCCTTCATTAACTAAGTCACTTCTGAATAATGGAACCCAGGGTGCAGGGCATGAAAAAATGGAAATGGGGGGCGGCGGGGGGTGAGGAGAAGAAGCAGGCTTTGTGGAAGCTGCACAAGAAATGCAAAAAACAAAACTTTAATTTTATCCAAAAAGTGTACCCATCAGTTTCTTTCATTTGTATGGGGTTTGGGGGGAGGTGGGAAAGGGGAAAGGTTTAGCGGATATTTGTACAACTGAAAATAGTACAAGACACAAGCAAAGACTATATGCAGCTGATTGTTAAATTGCAACATTTATTATGCATCCTCTGTCGATATCATTTATGGAGAGCCATTCACCGTGTTTAAAAAAGTATATTTTAATGCTTGAGGCTACTGTATATCCTGCCACATATATAATACTGTATATGACAATTTCTCTAAAAGGAAAAAAATTAATAGGTCACTAATTTATCTCAAGGGGGAGCCTGCTTTGAAGTGCCAGTTATTTCATGCCCTGCAGAAGATATGAGATATTGATTTCTTTCATCTTCTGTTAAATTTCCGTCATACCACCACACAATTTCACAAGACCCATATTCATTATAATTTGTGTACCCTTTCAGTGCCCTTTAATAGCAACCTTTTCCTTTATTACGAATCACTTGCAAACCCCATCTCATGTCCTAGGAACTATTCAAGTAAATATTTCTGTTGTGGCAAATTTCCAGATGTAACAAATGCTATCCAAACCCAATGTCAGATTGCATTTCATTAGTTGTCCCAGTTTTCTTTAAATGGAGCAGGAATTAGCCCGTTTTCTAGGTTTGGGGTCCCGTACATCCTTGTCTTTTAAACACATACAAGATGAACATATTGTCTCTGACAGTCTCCGGAGTCCCAGCCTGAAAACACTGTTGGAGAGGCTATATATCACACAGTTGCAGAAACTATTGCTTATAGCAAGCCATGTTGTTAAGAAGGAAAGTGCTGGATTTTCCAGCACCCTAGAGCTCTCCAGCAGAAAGTATATGATATAGGGGAGCCAAAGCATGTAAAACACACTGGTTATCCGAAATAAAACCATGGCATAGCGGCGGTCAGGGCTGTGCCCAGTCTCTCCCGCAGCATCCACTTCATGGCTAGGAAAGCGAGCTCTCCGGTCATTTATCTCTTTGGTGTGCTGCCGGCAAATTTTGAAGATGTGGAAATATGTGAAGCATATTACCAAAGCAGCTGGAGCATACAGTAAGCACACAATAAAGCCAGTAAAATAGGCATTGGTGAGCCAGGAGGTAGCACACCATTCAAAAATATCACCATGGTAACCAGGTTTTCCCCAACCAAAAAAGGAAGGTAAGAAGATCAGACAAGAGTATATCCAGATCAAAATGATACAGATTCTCAAGCGACAAGGCGTGACCAGTTGATTATAGGAGAGAGGTTTTGTAATAGCAAGATAGCGGTCGACACTGATGCAAGCAAGACATGCCATGGAGACACTCTTCAGCACAGAGATGATATATCCAAAAACCTGACAAGTCAAGGACTCATGGACACCTGTAGAATAGTGAAGCAATGATAATGTAGGAACCAAGCAGCTAACTCCAACAAAAAGATCAGCATAGGCCATAGTCTGAATAAAACAGCTGGTGGTATAATGATGTAAGAGCGGAGCACAGTGAAAGACAAATATTACAGTTAAATTACCAGCAATAATTAAAAATGTTAGCAAAACAATAATAACCGTCTCAAGGATGCAGATGTCGACTGCATTGTAGTGGCCAAATCCTAGCGGACAGGAGAGATGCTCAGACACGTTCACAATGATACTGCTCATGTTCAGAGTCCTCCATTCAGTCCATCTGGAGTGGTTCATGGTTTGGGATTAGGGAACACTGCAATCAGAGCTACAGTGAGCAGGTGACCTGCCCAACATCAGCTAAACTCTGTTTCAGAGTCTCATCATCTCTCTTTGTAGACACTGCCAGTGCTTCTATCAGGGAGGTTACAGTCTCATAGCTGTTGATGCCCCTTTAGCATCAATGCAACGCTCTGACACACCTTAGCTTTGAGGAAAGAAAAAAAAAAGCCAAAAAGGCCACTGATGAGTTTCCTCCAGTGCTCTCCATCTTTACCAAAAAAAAAAAAAAAGGCACTTCTAAAGAAAACAGGTTCTTTTTACTGTATTTGTGGAAGATGAAAATAAAAACAAAACAAAAAAAAGGAAGGGGGGGGGACAGGAAAAAGTCAACTGCTTCAAAAAAAATTCTGTGATTGTTTTTTTCCTGAGAAAGGCAGTTTCTTTGGAATTAGCTAAAAAAATACAAATAAAAAAAAGAGAAATGTCTCAATACAACACAGGTTTCCTGAATCAGCAATCTTTAGAAATGAATTAATGCTTTATGTTCATTTAAATAATTAAATCACAGAATGTCTGGAAAACCAAGGAAAAGTTCACCGTATCGTGCTGTGTCTTTTGGCTCCGTTCAGGAGATCTTTGCTTCATCTATCCTATTCATTAGAGAGGAAAGGAAAACATTTCTGTCCAGGTTAATTCCAATAGACTCACCACAGTTTGTGTATGAATAATGAATTTTATTTGGAGGGAGAAGGGTATGGGGAAAGCTAGGTTTGTCCTCTGACTTCCAGGAAGGAAAACATAAATCTACCTGTACAATGAGGAAGATCATGTGTACTCACTTAAAAATCAGAAAAATGTAAGAATAAATTTTGGAGCTTTAAGTCAGTATTCAAAGCTCTTTTAAACAGTTACGGTCCACTCCAACTATCAATGTCAGCAGCATAATCCAAGGTCCTCACAGACAAAACAAATCCTTCTTGCATTTCATTTCAGCAGTGATAATCAAAAATAATTTTCTTCAGAAATAATGCCATATCTGCTACAGTGGATCAGTACAGTGAAGTTCATAGGTATATCCATGGTATTTCTCACCTTTGTAGCAACACCTGAATCCTTTCACAAGCTCCATACAACAAGAACAGAAACTTCCATCTGCATTCTGCTGTGAAGCTAATGAAATGCTGATCAGACTAGAAAAGCTGCCATTGCTTACTCCAATATTCTGTCATTCAGCTTCAGCTTCTAGGCTGCCACAGACTTTCGGTTTTTATTAGATGATTAGCATGATAAATCACTGCTTTAAAAACCAGATCTTCTAATAGCTGGACATTACCTGTTAATTGTATTTGCAGTTATGGAGCAGCCATATGTTAAAGAAAGCCTCTTCTGTATTCATTTTTGAGTAACTGCTTGATTAGTGCAAGGACCATTAGCTAGGTTACTAAATGTACACAGTCTTGCTTTTAAAAAAACCCAGAAATACTAAAAATATCTTTAATCCTAGAATTCCTGAGATAATGAAGAGGCAGACAAGAATTAATCAATCCAAATAAAAAGATTTGTCAAGGTCATTTAGATATTATTTTAGTATTTGTTTAACGTCCCTTTAAAAGTACTGACATCTCACTGGTGCTTTTGATAGTCTTCGCTGCTCCTTCTGAAGGAATTTCATTCACTAGAAAAGAAGCATTTTCTCCACTTCTGATGCAGTAGTTTGATAGAAAGCATTCTTTTGAAGTTAATTTTCCAAGATGTACCATCATGCTGTACAGAAGGGTCTTTTTGATTTTATAACATCCCCAAAACACTTGCCAGTTGTTCATTCTCTCTGTCTATAAGTAACTTAATCTGTTACAAAATCACTACTTTTTAAAAAAAATTCTCTTGCTACATCAATAAACCGATGTTTCTCACCTACGTTCATTCTTATCAGCTGCTACGGTGAACTGCTTGATACAGAAGTCCTATTTACTGTGAGGCAGTTACAAGGATGCTGTCACTATTTCTCACATTCTCTCTCAAAATTATTGCTTGCACCTGAGCCTGCTGCTCCTCTTTATCCTTAGCTGATGCAGAAGAACTCACTATCAGAAAGGTGACTCGGTCCTTCTGCCCCAATCAACAGCACAGCCAATGGCTAAAGCAGCTGAAATTGTCACTAGGTAACAGTTGCCAGGCACAATGCAGGCTTACACAGCAAGAGGCAAATAAGAATGACAAATTAAGACAATGGAACTGACCATTTCCCTGTAATATATTAATGGCATTTGGAAACTTCTGAAAGAGGCTTCCCTTCTAGTACTTCCATAGGGTTATATCCTGCAGATTAGCAAAAAACCGTTGCATACCACATAGAAACTACCATAATATTACTATAACAATCACCAGTTAAAGAAGTCAGCAGTAATTAATTCTTATTGGCAGGAAAGACCTATTAATTATTAAACAAATAAGTGCTAACCTTCATAAAGTCAAATTGATTGTTTTAAAATAAAAAAATATGCTTCTTTTTTGATCTGTAAAAGTTTAAAATCAGCTTCTACCCTCTTATCAATTCAAATTGCTGAACTATTTATACAAGACAAATGTAGTTAAGTTAACATAACTACAGAATAATAAAAAATACATTTAAGCAACGTTTAAGATCCAAAATAAATACCCAAATGCAAAGACATTTAAAATTAAGGCTGAAACTACCTAATTAATTCGCTCTATTATGTCTAGATATGAAGAGGTCTCAGCACAGTATATTTATGGAGTATACAACATTATCTACTGCAATACCTAAATACAATGTTGAGAAAGTTATTCTCACAGTATTTGTTAGGAATGAAACTAACATCCATTGCTTCTAAACGTTTAAGTGATTTAACATTAACCAATTATTTGTTTTAGCTTAATGTAAAAAAAAGGGGGGGGGGATTACCAATGGATTTTAAAGGGGTAACTTAAAATATGTCCCTAAAATAATTCAAGATGTCTAATTGTATACTTAGTAAGTTATTAAAAAAAGATTTTGGGTCAGAATAATTTTCTTTCAGTAGGCGAGTCTGAGACAATGTAACAGACCGTTGTACTGTTAAAGTCCACAGATTTTTTAAACTCAATTAACTGATTTATGTAATACCAATACATATTCATGATATTATTCCTCTTCTGGTTATGGATCCATTAAATATATGTGTTTAGTCATTCCATGATACAAAATGAGCATAAAGTAAAATTATTACATTCACACTAGACACATTTTTAACACAAAATTGAAACATTCAGTATATTCAGAAAATACCCAATCATACACCAATACAGCACAGCACAATTTAGTTAAGGGCTGGCAAAATACATTTGTCACAGGTTTGGTTTTAGAGAGTGAATAAAATAGAATAAAGTATCTAATTACTAATTCTTGTAATTCTGCTACATCAAACCACAGACCAAATCTGGCAAAAGTTGCTCCTGGGTTAACACCTTGTATTTCAAATTCAGCCTGAAGCAAATTTGCAAGGCTGAATGACAAATCTCTAGAAATTGGAACTGCATACTGAACTGAAGCAACGTAACTACGAAATACACTGGTACAGCAGTGATACTGTATTCCTCCAGTCGAGGGATTTAAGAGAAATATAAAGCAGTACTTTAGTGCAATATAAAATATATTCCAATCACTTGCTATTGTAAATTGCTACAACAAAATGTGTTAGAACTAGATTGAGCCTTTAGGCTCAGCTCTGAGTAACACCTAGCTGCACCACAAGAGGAGCAAAGGAAAGGAATTTTGACTCCTCTCCTTTCCCACTTGCTTGCAGCCGGTGATGGGGTGAGGAGAAGGCTTGGGAGAGGAAAAGTGGATGAGACATCCCTCCTCCTCCCTTCCTTCTGCTGGACTCTACACATGAACCAGGCTAAAAGTGAAGGGCTCTTCTACACTTTTTAAAACACTGAAAATCAGACACTTCAAATTTAGCAGCAGTTAAACGTAGCATTAAGGGAATCATAAAAAGGTAAATGTAAAAATATAAAGTTTACATGACAATAGTTTTGAAACTTTCTGATTTCTTAATTTCTTACAACTACAATACCCACCTGCAGAAGTAAAGAAACAGATTGATAGAGCCAGAAGAGTTCCCAGAAGTTACCTACTACAGGACAGGCCTAACAAAGAAAATAACAGAACGCCACTAGCGGTCACCTTCAGCCCCCAACTAAAACCCCTCCAACGCATTATTAAGGATCTACAACCTATCCTAAAGGATGACCCAACACTCTCACAAGTCTTGGGAGACAGGCCAGTCCTTGCCTACAGACAGCCCCGCAACCTGAAGCAAATACTCACCAACAACCACATACCACACAACAGAACCACTAACCCAGGAACTTATCCTTGCAACAAAGCCCGTTGCCAATTGTGCCCACATATCTATTCAGGGGACACCATCACAGGGCCTAATAACATCAGCCACACTATCAGAGGCTCGTTCACCTGCACATCCACCAATGTGATATATGCCATCATGTGCCAGCAATGCCCCTCTGCCATGTACATTGGTCAAACTGGACAGTCTCTACGTAAAAGAATAAATGGACACAAATCAGATGTCAAGAATTATAACATTCATAAACCAGTCGGAGAACACTTCAATCTCTCTGGTCACGCAATCACAGACATGAAGGTCGCTATCTTAAAACAAAAAAACTTCAAATCCAGACTCCAGCGAGAAACTGCTGAATTGGAATTCATTTGCAAATTGGATACTATTAATTTAGGCTTAAATAGAGACTGGGAGTGGCTAAGTCATTATGCAAGGTAGCCTGTTTCCTCTTGTTTTTTCCTACCCCCCCCCCCCAGATGTTCTGGTTTAACTTGGATTTAAACCTGGAGAGTGGTCAGTTTAGATGAGCTATTACCAGCAGGAGAGTGAGTTTGTGTGTGTATGGGGGTGGGGGGGATGTGAGAAAACCTTGATCTATGCAGGAAATAGCCCGACTTGATTATGTAAAGAGTTGTCACTTTGGATGGGCTAGCACCAGCAGGAGAGTGAATTTGTGTGGGGGGGTGGAGGGTGAGAAAACCTGGATTTGTGCTGGAAATGGCCCACCTGTTGATCACTTTAGATAAGCTATTACCAGCAGGACAGTGGGGTGGGAGGAGGTATTGTTTCATGATTTCTGTGTGTATATAAAGTCTGCTGCAGTTTCCACGGTAAACATCTGATGAAGTGAGCTGTGGCTCACGAAAGCTCATGCTCAAATAAATTGGTTAGTCTCTAAGGTGCCACAAGTACTCCTTTTCTTTTTGCGAATACAGACTAACACGGCTGTTCCTCTGAAACCTAAATAATAACAGCGACTGAGTGAGACCACAGGTCCATCTAGCTCAATATTCTGACAGTGGCCGGTTGCCAAATGCTTCAAAGGGAATGAACAGAACAGGGCAATTATTAAGGATACAATTTAGTCATGGAAGTCACGGAAGTCACAGATTCTGTAACTTTATCAGACCTCCGTGATTTCTTTGGCTTCAGCTGTCAGTGGCTGCAGCTGGGGCCAGAGCCATATGCTCCCCTACCAGCCCCCCACAGCTAGGCGAGAGCTGGGGCTGTGTGCACCCCCGCCCCACCCCCGTGACTTCAGCTAGGCTTTACACCTCACTGTGGTGGTGGGGCTCAGGCTGTCAGTCCCTTCCCCCCCCCCCCCGCATAGGGCTCCAGTTGTCATTCCTTCCTCTTCCCCCATTTGCCCTCCTCCCAGTTATTTTTAGTAAAAGTCACAGACAGGTCACTGGCTCCCTCAAATTTTTGTTTATTGCCTGAGACCTGTCTATGACTTTTACTAAAAATAAGTGAGACAAAATCTTAACCTTAGCAATTATCAAGTGATCCACCCCCTGTTGTCCAGTCCCAGCTTCTGGTAGTTAGATGTTTAGGAACACTCAGAGCATAGGATTGCAGGCCTGACAACAGTGGTTAATAGCCGTTGATGAACCTGTCCTTCATGAACTTATCTAATTGTTTTATTAACCCAGTTATAATTTTGGCCCTCACAACATCGCCTGGCAACAAGTTCCACAGGTTGACTGTGAGTTCTGTGAAGAAGTATGTTTTCTTGTTTGTTTTCAACCTGCTGCCTATTAATTTCATTGGGTGACCCCTAGTTCCTGTGTTAAAAGGCGGGGTAAATAACACTTACCTATTCATTTTCTCCACACCACTCATGATTTTATAGACCTCTCTCATATCCTCCCCCACCCCCCTTAGTCGTCTCTTTTCCATATCGTATGTATAGTTGGATTATTTTTCAATGTGCATTACTTTACACTTAACACTGAATTTCATCTACTATTCCGTCACCCACTCACCCAGTTTAGTGAGATCCCTTATAACTCTTCACAGTCAGCTTTGGATTTAACTATCTGAGTAATTTTGTATAGTTTGCCAACTTTGACACCTCAGCATTCACCCCTTTTTTCAGATCATTTATGAATATGTTGAACAGTACTGGTCCTAGTACAGATCCTTGGGGGCACCACTCTTTACTTCTCTCCATAGTGAACAATTTATTCTTATCCTTTGTTTTCTGTCTTTTAATTCATGAGAGGACCTTCCCTCTTATCCCATAATTGCTTAGTTTGCTTAAGAGCCTTTGGTCAGGGACTCTGGCAAAGGCTTTCTGAAAGTCCAAGTACACTATATGCACTCGATCATCCTTTTCTACATGCTTGTTGACACCCTCAATGAATTCTAATTGATTGGCGAGGCATGATTTCCCTTTGCAAAAGCCATGTTGACTTTTCTCTCCCCAACATATTATATTTATCTGTGAGAGAGATAATTTTCTTTTTTACTACAGTTTCAACTAATTTGCCTGGTACTGAACTGTCATAAATATAAAGGGAAAGGTAAACCCCTTTGAAATCCCTCCTGGCCAGGGGAAAGCTCCTCTCACCTGTAAAGGGTTAAGAAGCTAAAGGTAACCTCGCTGGCACCTGACCAAAATGACCAATGAGGAGACAAGATACTTTCAAAAGCTGGGAGGAGGGAGAGAAACAAAGGGTCTGTGTCGGTCTGTATGCTGGTTTCTGCCAGGGATAGACCAGGAATGGAGTCTTAGAACTTTTAGTAAGTAATCTAGCTAGGCATGTGTTAGATTATGATTTCTTTAAATGGC